GCATTTTCTCTGCTTTCTCGAAACTTTCTGGCATATTCTCCCAGTATGGGTTGAGCTATCTCACAATACTATAATTAAGTTTCTTCTGCCTGCATGTACTTCATTTAAGGTGTTATTTTTACCCATTTGAACACATTACCTTGGGTTGGGTTTTTTTCCTTACAGATTTTGAAAAGTACTAGTTACTTAAAGGCATAGATAAGTGTATTCTACAATGCATACAAATCTTGAAAAATTATTCAACATATGGAATATTTGTTCTGGGATTGCAGCAAAAATCTGAATCTGACTTTTTACACTGTTTTTTCTGTATTTCTTGTAGTCATGAGAATTTTGGGGGATTCTGCAGGCCACTCTTGGTACTTTCTTGGTGAGCAAACCTGTTCTGTTGGTAGTGTTTCAAGGATCTCCTGTCTTGACCTGGCACGTCAGGGAGGAATGGCTCTGGTTTCTGGCCTAAGTTGCGTCAGAATGAATAAAGGTACTTTTTGCTTATATAGGTGAAGATTTTTGAAGGTGCAGAAGAGTAATGTGTTGGAGAAAAATCCTTTGCTAATCTGTCTTGCAGGGATTTTCTTTATCTTTTCAAGATGGATAATGTTCAGGCACTCCTCTGATGGAATTGTGAGTTGTCCAGCAGTGCTAGCACTAAGAGAGTACGATCTTCCGGTGGTGTCAGAGGCCACCAGTCTATTAGTATTCAGGCTTTGGGAGTACCCAGTCTTTTCTGACAAGATCAAAGCATTTTCCTGCAAGGAAATTGCCCTGTGACTAGCCAGGTTTCTGAAATCCCCACCACACTAAGTTCTTACTGGAAGTTCCACAAGAACTTTAGTTTTTGCAGGCAGTCAATTTTTTTTTTTCTCTTGCCATGCCCTAAAGCATGGGTTTCTGCTTATCCTAAAAGCATATAGATATTCAGGATCCCTGTGAACAAAAGTGTCTGCCTCTTTATGCTTGTGGACATATTGCAGACACATCCTTTTAACCAGTTTACCGAGATCAAGCGGCTCTTACGTATCAGTTTGGTGTCCTGATGTGCACAGCTCTGCCGCTGGCATTCAGCTGAGACCTGTGTTCTGGTTATTTCTGAAATGGTGCGTGAATAACTTGGCGTTGTCCTTGCTCCTTTTTTTGACTGTAGGCAATTCCGGAGTCGAGTTCTCCAAGTTCTCTGGACTTGTGTAGCATGTTTCACAGAAGTACAAGCTTCCTTAACACTGGACCTGGCAGTTGGGGAGGTACTGAGAAAAGAGTTCTTATTCTGTTGGTGGGGATGGAGCATAGCTCTGGTGTAAATCACCTGACTAAACACTTACCAGTGTGCTTTTGGTAGAGTTGGCTGGACCAACCTGAATTTACCTCCGTGTTTCAGCCCTTGTAAGCAGGCTACAACCTGTGCAGCTGAGCCACATTAACCTATCATCTCTGAGGTTTTAGGCAGCCTTCAGTGCAAATCCAGCTGATCTGGCTTCGTTCGCCTGAGAAGAATAAAGCTGTACTTCAGTTTCCTCTCTGCTGAGATGTCAAGGGGGCCGTAAGTGTGTGTGGTCATCTAATTTTAATGATGCTTTTTGTGATACAAATACTCAGCTGTTTGGAGTGGAACTGAAATTGCCCAGGTATTTTACACGGTCTCTGACAAGTAATTTGTTGGATGTCACATCTCTGAGTTGGAGCCCTCCCAGTTGGTTAACCAATAACCTAAACATGAAAGCCTGTACATCTGACTACTGAAACCCTGAGTCATTCCAGCCTTTAATTAAAGCATGTTCCTTTAATATGTTCCTCTTGCTTAAAATTATGCGAGAGTTATTTCCTAGAGGAAAATGCCTCATGCGTGCACTTTTATTTAGTATTTTCGATAAATTAGCTAAATAAAGGGGGAAAGCTTGAAATATCTAGGGTATGTCAGGCAGTTGCAGGGGATGCATATGTCAACCTCAAGCATGATTTATCTTACATGCCTTTTCTGACAGTTGTAATTTAACGGCTGTATTTTCCTCTAGGCTCTCAGGAGGCTAAACATCTTTTCAAGTTTCTAGCTTTGTGGTGGAAGAGTAAATGTCTGTTTGCCAGAGTAATTTATCTGAGTCATTCTAGGAGAGGCGTGGAGCAATTGAAGCATGACTATTAGCATAAATAAGAGAGGGACTCTCTTCCTGAGGGTAGAGTTACTCTTGCTGTCTTTCAGAGGAAAGCTGCTTCCCTGTAACAACTGCTACTGCCAATTTACTGGTGCGATGCTATGAACTAAAAGACCTAATATATTGAGCTCTGGTCTACTGCGATATTCTTTTGCATTTCAATTTGAAGTGGAGTTAAAGAGAACAGAGCAAGGAAGAGGAAAAATTCTGCAGTAAGCGCAACAGTGAATTACCAACAGAGTTAGCATTTCATATATACTGAGGTGTTTTTTTTCTTTTAAAAGTTTGAAGAGAGAAGGAATTACAAAACCTAAACTCACTACTTCTTTCTCAGTCCCTGTGTAATAGCACTATTACCACTGTAAGTAGTTGTCATTGCAAATTTTATTTTAAGAAATTAATTCAAAACTTTTCTTCAACTTTTCAAACGTGTAGGTATCTTAAAACATCCTCTGAACAGTCAAAGATGTTTTGTGCATGTGGAAATGCCAACACAGGGTCACGTTTGACAGTGGCATCCATGGGCCAGCACTGACTTCGGCCTTCGCGCTGTGCTGGCCGGCGCCTGGCACCCGTCCTTGCCCCGTGGGGCTGCAGCGTGCTCGGGGGTGCCATTGATGCCTTAGCCCGCGCCACGGGAGGCTGCAGCCCCCCAGTGCCAGTGACACCCTGCACGGTGACTCCCACAGCCCACCACTGCCAGGACAAAACTACACCTCTGCATGGCCCTGGCTTGGTAAAGTGGGAAAAGGGAATACCTCTTCCAGGTATTTCCTTAAACATTGCTTACACTGCCCCCCAAGAGTGAGAACTGAGGTGGCATACAAGATGTTTCCTTTGGCCTTTTCCCTGCTCTGCCTACTCGGAGGGGGAAGAAAGACGGGGTGTGTGTGTCGGGGGAGATGCTCACCGTCGTGTGTGTGTCCCGTCCCGTGTCCGTCCCGTCCCGTGTCCGCCCCCCC